AGTTCCAGAAAGGTCAGACTTCATTATCTGCCTCCTTCCATCCAGGATGCTTCAGGCTTGTGAAGGAGACAGCACAGCTGAGGAAAGCCAGCAGTGCTGGCATCTCTACCGTGTATGATTTGCAAAATGGAATTCCGGTTCTTTACACTCTCGATTCACAACCTTTCACCGCCACGAGAAATCTCACACATGTTACTTACAAATACTGTTGAAAGCTTGACAACTGAATACAAAACTGTGAGATATACTCTGGACTGGACACAGGCCAGATGAATGAAGGCTTTAGTAACGCATGCAGCTTCTTAAGAAGGTATTGCAATTGTGGACATTGGATCAGTTGCTCAAAAAACTTTCATAAAATGATTTTGAATTAAGGTTTCTATATGGGACATCAGCACACTGATATCAGCAGCACAGACCTGGTGATCCCCATTTCCTGTCTTTTTCAGGGTCTCTAATAGGCCCCAGTGGATTGGAGGCAGAGCACTGTAAGAACTCAGCAAGTGAAGCTGACTTAATGGATTCTGATTTATTTCTGCAATCCTCAAGGCCCTCAAGATAGCAGGTGCAAACTTGGAATAATGAGCTGTAGATGAAATAATAATTGGGCAAGTTCTATCTTGTAATCGATCTGCAACTACTTTAGCAACAGCTGTGTGTGTATCCAAAATATACCCTGTAGTACTGTACACAGAGTGAATGGCAGCCAGACAGTCCTCATCAGAGCACCAGCCAGCCACTAAGTCTTGCTGAAGCTTTCCAAGTAGATCTTTCTGCAGCTGGAAGTGGCCCTGATTTTCCAGCTGATTAAATAATTGTGTCACCAGTTGTCCATCTTCATTAGTGATCAGGTGTAAGTATCGCTCAAGATTGGAGGACTTCAAAATATCTACTGCTGGTGAAAAACTGGAAATTAATTTTCTTCCCCTCAAATCATAAACACCCCTTCTTATGAAGTCAGTCAAAACATTGTTTTCATTGGAAGCACAAATACATTTTCTTATAGGAATTCCCATCATTTTAGCATAGAAAGCAGCTAACATGTTGCCAAAGTTTCCCGTAGGAATGCAAATATCTACAGGGCTTCCAAAAGAAATAATACCTTGATGAACGAGATCAAGGTATGCAGAGGCATGATAAACTATCTGAGGAAGCAGTCGTGCCCAATTTATAGAGTTGGCTGCAGCTAAAGCTGTTCCATATTCTACTGTAAGAAAGCCAGTAAAGTCAGAATTGGTAAAGATTTGCTTTATAGCTGTCTGGCAAAAATCAAAATCAGATTTGACACCCACTGACCACGCATTTTCCTTCTGACAGGCAATCATTTGTGATTTTTGAATTGGGCTTACTCCATCCTCAGGAAAAAAGTTCACCAGAGCAATTCTCTGTTTGTCAGTGTCATGGAGACGACTAAAGCCATCTAGAACAGCACTCCCTGTGTCCCCAGAAGTAGCTACCAGAATCAAGTAATTGCAGCTTCTGGGAATGCAGTAGGCAAATAAATGTGGCACCAACTGTAATGCAAAATCTTTAAATGATGCTGTTGGCCCATGAAATAACTCAAGAAGGAACTGATTGCCTGCCAGATGCCTAATTGGAGCAACTTTAGAACAACTGAAGTTTTCTCCATATGCAGTTTCAATAATTTCTGCCAGCTTAGAAGCAGGAATATCAGTAGGATGTATGCATCTTTCTAGTATCACCTGGGCTCTTTCAACGTAAGTTGCTTCTATCAGACCTTGCCATTCTTCAGCAGTGAATTTTGGAAGTCCTCTCTCAGGAACAAAGAGTCCTCCATCAAGGGCTAAGCCCTGAGTAACAACATCACTGAAGTATAATTTATTAGAGTCTTCTTCTGTACTCCTTCCAGACTTACTAGACCTTGTTGAAATGAAAGTTTCCAGTTCCGAATCTTGGTATCTCTTCACAGCATCAAGTACCTTTTCTGCTACAACCTCTGCTGCAACATCCCCTCCACAAAGAACACGGATGTCAAACCACCTTTTGTAGAACTGTTTCCTAAACTGAAGTATGTCTTTGAGAGAAATTCCAGGAGACAGGCCCACAATACGATCCATTCCCTTTGATTTCAGCCTGTTCATAATGACTGTTGTGGGCACATCCAGATATACAACTATTCCATTTTTCTTTATGTGCTGCATGCCAGCAGCATGCATTGGATTGGACCCACTAAGGGAAATTACACTTCCAGATGCTGAGACCGTCAACAGGGCTTTTCCTTCCTCCTCTAGAAATTCCTCATAACCAACATCCTGCAGTTTTTCTGACACACTCATATTCCAGGTTGTTTCAAGGACATCATCATCTATGTCTATGACAGGGCAATCCAGTTTCTGGCCTACTATTCTCCCAGTTGTTGTTTTCCCAGCACCTGGAGGTCCCATCAGAATAATATTTTTCTTTCCAAGAAGCGAATGACTTGAGAACCATGACTTCCATATCTGTGCAAATGCAACAGGTCTTGAAAGCATCAGTTTTAAACACATGCTAGAAAGACTGTTTTGGGTTATTAGTCTTAAAGGCTGATACTGGAAAATGTGAAACATCTTCTGATGAGTTATTGTGGGATTTTTTCCAAGACAACTTGACAATCCACTTAACTGCTTCAGAAAGAAAAAAAAAAAAACAAAACAGTAACTAGTCCTTCAGCAAATATCTAAGAAAAACCCCTCAAAGATACAAAGTTTAGAACAAGACTTCAAACATAATCCAGCTATGACCTCATCAGTGCCAAGGAAGTATTTTTCAGAGTAAGACTCATTCCCCTCTCCTGCATAGTTCCAGCTTTTTTCCACTGACAATCCAACTTCAAAAAGTCTTCGTCTTCAAGGTAAAAAAAGACATCCAAGCCTAACACTATAAAACTGTTTGCAAATAATATTGCTTATAGGAATTCAAATTCAATTAGTTTTACTTCTAGAAGACTTGCTCTTAACTACACATTTATAAGTAACAATCAACTTGATTACCTTCTTGTAATCAAAATGTTAACAGAACGTGCATATATGCATTTGTCCCACCTCCCAAGAAAATGCTGATTTTTTTTTAATCCTTTCTTTCTAAAAAAAATCAAATGCACGACCCACTTAAATACACAAATAACTCACAGTCTTGTGCAACAGCAAGGCTGGATGAGTTGCATTCCAATCTCTTCTGAAGGGATGGAAATCAAACAAAGGATTTTTGAAGAACTCCTATACTGGAATTGTATTGAATGTAATTTGGGGATAGAGAGGGGAGGGGAGGAGAGACAGACAGACAGACAGAGAGAAATCATGAGGACTCTCTATCAATAAAAAAAAGTAACTAAGAAGGATGGATTCCCAACAAAGAAAGAAACTCCCAACATTGGGCTTTGTTTACTTAGAGAAATAAACACCAATATCAGCACTAATTGGAGCATATTATTTATCTGCGACATTTACAGCAAATGGGGAAAAACTCTGAAAATCTCCCTAAAACTGCAAGGGGGACAGAGGGAAGAGCATTTGCTCAGTTCTATGGAAAGTTGAGCTTACAAACAGTAAATCTCTGTGTTTGCACTCAATGCTGTGACCTGGAGGACATGCTGTAATTACAAGGCATAGATCAGAGTAAAGATGGGCATATCATACTGTCCAGGTTTTTTTCCTCAATCTTTGTCTGTACTGCAAGAGTAAACACTCTAGTGCATATATAAATATGTATATATTCTTTTAGACAGAAGGAGATCTTCATATTAAACTTACAGATGTAAAAAAGTTATATTCAGGAGTAAATAAGCCCCAAACCAGTATATTTTAGATTATTTTATTTCTTGAATGTAGGAATCACTTCAAGCATTGTGTGTGTACCAAGGGAGTAAAAAATCACACCAAGCAGAGTCCTGCCTGCCATGTCCTGCTCCACCACAGGTTAACTTTGACCTGCAGTCAGTTGGTGTCCATTACACAAATAATGGCTGTAACATCTGGGCTGCCTTATGAATTTAGGCCACAGGTATTGTTTAAAGTCAACTTGAGTTTTGCACTAACCCACATAAAGTACGCATACATAGAAGGCCGTAAGCATTGAAGACAACCCATTTCTTCGAAATTTTTTGTCCACTGGCAAAATTTCAACATTCAACCAGCTCAGATGATCCACCCACCGCACTTTAGATACAAACGCCATGCCAAAAGGGTGGGGTTGTTGTAGCAGAGCTTATACCCGTATCTCCAATGACATTTTGCTTTGGCTGATCAGCTCGACATGGACACGGACAGCACATAAATATATATTTTTAGCCGTGACCCACAATTTTAACAACCAGTGCCGGTGACAGGCGCTCTAGTGAAAACTGGGCCTTGTTACTTGTACAGACACGAGACCAGCCCCCAAACCAAGCTCCTGCAGCGGCTCCTGGAAGCAGTCAAAGCACGAATAGGAGCAGGGAAGGGAGCCGGACGGACGGGACCGCACCCACCCAGCCGGCGCAGCCGCGGGCTGCCACCTCCGCTCGCCCTGTCCTATCCCGTACCGTTCCATTCCACCCTTTCCTTTCCTGTCCCGTCCCGTCCCGTCCCGTCCCGTCCCGTCCCGTCCCGTCCCGTCCCCCTTGTCCCAGCTGGGTTCCACCCCCGCCCCCCGGCGCCCTCAGCGCGGCGCGCGCACGTACCGGCGGGGGAGGGGGCGGGACCGCTGCCGCAGGCACCGCGCACGCGCAGTCCAACGGCCCGGCGCGCCCCGGCTCCCCCCGCGTCGCGCCGCACCGGCGGCAGCTGCGCCTGCGCGGCCGCTCGGCGCCCGGCGCTGGGGCAGGTGGCGGCGCAGGCCCCGCCCCTCATGGCGCCGTTCCCTCACGGGTTTCCCCGGTAACTGACAACAGCCGCCGGCCCCGCCCGAGCATCTCGGCCAGGCGGCGCTTCCCCCGACCGAACCCCCAGCGGGGCGAGTACCCCGTGTCCAGAGTCCCACAAGCAGACGGGCAATTCCCCGTGCTCGGGGTCCGCGGCGGGACCATGGACACGCAGAGTGCCCAGGAGGGCGCCTGTGATCCCCCGCCCCGGCCGGCGCAGCCCGGCAAACCTGCCAGGTATGCGGGTGTGACGGAGCCGCTTGCAGGCAGGGTGGCTGGTTCTGGCAAGGCAATGCATCTCACGGGTAACACGTATTAAAAAAAACCCCAAACTAGTTTTTGCGTAGTTACCCCTCCTCCTAACGAGTCACTAACATCAGTAAGGACATTGAGGTGCTGGAGTGTGTCCAGAGAAGGGCAGCGAACCTGGTGAAAGGTCTGGAGCACAGGTCCGGTGAGGAGCAGCTGAGGGAGTTTATCCGGGAGGAGAGGAGGCTCAGGGGTGACCTCATCGCTCTCTACAATTGCCTGGAAGGAGAGTGCAGCCAGGTGGCCTTGGTCTTTTTTCCTAGGCAGTTAGCGACCGTGGCCTCAGCTGCACCAGGGCAGGTTTAGACTGGACATTAGGAAGAGATTCTTGACAAGAAAGGGTGATTAGGTTCTGGAGTGGGCTGCCCAGGAAGGTGGACGTCCCCTGCCCACCATGGGACTCCCTGTCGGTTTACGGAAATACTGGATGTGGTACTCAATGCCATGGTCTAGTTGACAAGATGGTGTTGGACTTGATAATTCAGAGGTCTTTTCCAGCCTAATTGGTTCTGTGATTTTAGAGTTTACAGTCTGCTACAAGAAATGATGATTAAGTTGTCTTCAATGGTGTCTTCAATGACATCTTGTTAGTTCATAATTTACAAAGCACTCCTTCTGTGCGCAGGAATTACATGACGTCTTTGTTACTTGCACTTATAACAACTCAGTGAGCAGCTGGAAAGGTGGGCTTTCCAGTTTCCATACTATTTGTGTTTCAGGTGTGTCCTCTGACATTGTTTCTTTTGCTTCCCTTCCTTCACTCTTGCCTTAAAAATATAAGAAAAGGCCTTTTGCAAAGAGTTATGCACACGTGTTGTTTTTTTCAAGTCCCTATTTATACAAAAGACCGTCACACATCTTTAGTGAAAGGGTAGGTCGTAATTCAATAGCTTTAAAACAAGTAGATGCATCAGTGACACTCATTAGAACAAAGATAGTTATCCTGTTTCAGGTAAAATGATCCAGACTTCTGAGATTCCTAGTTCTGAGTCTTATGTAAAAGTAGATTTTAAAACTTTGTTTTCATTGTGAATGGATATAGTTTTGGACGGAGATAGTTTTGAAGACAGAGGAAGGTGAAAAGACAACATGGTAAGGCATACACACTAAATCCATTCCTGACTTAATACCATTCAGAGATTTGGATACTCCATGACCATTAGGTTCAGTTAAGGCAATGGATTCCTTGGCTTAGATATAATCTGACTAAATCCCCTTCTGATCTCATTGACTTCTGTTGTCACCACACTTGCTGCTTAGATTCACAATGTGACAAATATTCAACTGGTAATAGGACTATTGAACCTGGTTAATAGTGTGATTTGATCAGTTCAAATCACAGATCTGCTTTGGTGTATGGGTCTTTTTTCCCCAAATCAAATAATATGTATTTCATTCTCAACTGCCTGATACTGCTCATGAAACCACAGCGAACATACTCATTTTCCCCAGCTTTGATATCCCAAGATGACACCTAAGGAATAGATGTCATCTTCTTCTGTCTTCTTACAGATGTATGGTCTTTTTTTCCCTTGCTAAGTGGTGATGAACAGATTAGATTCTGATGTTCTCCATAACTATGTTTTCTTCCTTGCAATCGTCTCTAACCCTGTGATATTGATCCACTCTCTTGGTCTGGAAAATCACTGAAAAGATAACAGATCCCTCATCTCTTTGTCCAAAGGAATGTCTATAGCTGTCTACAAATGATTTCTTTACCTCATGCCAGTATGTTAGAAACACAGTGTCTTCTCATTCATTTTCTCATTCCAAGACTCTGAACTCCACTAGGTCAAAATTTGCACAAGGTCAGTGCCTTTCTCTCCCATGTGTTCATGATGCCACTTCTACAAAATGGTGAGGAATACTGTTATTTATCACTTTGGTGGGTTTGTGCAGTGTCTATAGCTGTTTGCCATGAGTTTAACAGAAAAAAAAATAAATAAACCTCATTCCTTATAATTAGAAGTATTTCAGGAAGTATATATAATCTTATGCAGATAATCCTCTCTCTGATTTTTTTAATGAAGTCCTCTGACATGTTCTAATGTTATGATCAAGTACAAATACATATATTGGACATTTGCAGCTCATGGACAAGAGCTTTTATCAGTGTTGCTACTGTGGTACACATTCAGTGGCCCAAGATTACATGGTTTCTTTCTTCCTGTTTCAGTATTTCCATAGAATGGGTTGCACTATATGTAATCCTTTTTGTTCTTCTTTATATCCTTACTTGAAAACATGGCATAGTTTTTTTTCATAAACATGTTTGGGTTTTTTTTTCTGTAAAAGAAGCACAGTTTTTCATAAGCTTTTTTTCTACCATAAATTAATATGACATGTTTCCTAAAGATCGACATAATAAAAGTACAGTGAGGGAGCCTTCGCTTCAAGAGCAGGCAGTTCTGCTTCCTCAGGCAAACATCTGTGACAGCTCAGTCGTTCAGAGAAAGGCAAGATGTTGCCAATCAGCTAATGATCAGTGTTTGGCTTCTTTTGGAGATTTTGATTAAAGCAGAAGTTATCATGCCATATGCAATATTAGACCAAAACAGCAGTGTGTGCATACCATGTTCATACAGCTTCTCATATCTGAGCCCTTACTGATTTTCACATCAGCAGTTTCAGTGCCAAACCCACCACTGATTACCATTGTCCAGGATTGCAGCTCCTACCTGTGTAATATAATGAATCTTCAGTGTGCTCTGCAATTTCAGAGCAGTCACCCATCTCATCTGTCATAAGAGTCTGTAACAGATGGTTCAACTGGAACATTGAGGCAGTGATACAGATACAGTGGACAGTAATAAGAAAAACTGATAATCAAGGACATCCTGTACAATTCTTGACTACATTTGGCATCTTTTCTCAAGCATAAATCATATAGAATCATAGAATGTGCTGAGTTGGAATGAGCCATCAGGATCATTGAGTCCAGCTCCTGGCCCTGCACAGGACACCCTAAGAATCACACCATGTACCAAAAGGAATTCATGCAAGCAATAATCAAGTTTATTTCCAAAATTTAGGTTTCGTTGGATTTCAGAATGTCTGTGTTCAGCATTGATATTTGGTATTTATTTCCCAAAGTGTGATAGTCCTGACCTCAGAGACACAAGAGCCAAAGGAAGAAGCAAGCTAACTTCAGAACCAGAAAACTCATTTGTCAGTGCACTACTAGGTTTAGCCTTAGCATGGTGGCTGTGTGAATTATGCTCTTTATTTGGGAGAGAGTACAAAACAAAACAGATTAGGCTTTTGCCATGAACTACTTCAAAGTATATTCTTCGAAGAACTATTTCGAATATTTTTCTGACCCTTAACTTTTTTATGGCTATTTGTTAACCTCTAAGGTATGTATCCAAATATAGCGAATTTGTGAGACGTGAAGCAGAGAAAAATAAATCTCAGTGGAAAACTATGGGGCCAGCAAAAGTTGCAGTGCCATCACCAAATGATTTTCTGCAGAAACGTTCCAAGGAGCCCAAGCCAGCACCAAGTAAGTGTAGACAGAAAATATGCAATATAATGTAGTTTTTAGGTAGATAGTTTAGTCTTTGTTTCCTACAGTAGTAAGTTATGGCCAACTATCAAGTTGTAAAAACAAAATACTTGTTTGTGGGGTCAGTATCAGGAAACCAGCTGTTGTAGGAATGATGTTTGTCAGTTGTGACATTACACTTATTTACTGCCAAAGAAGAACATGAACTCAGACAATTTGGATCAAATCATTATTTCTGGTAATGATCATGAATTGGAGTTATGTCCAGTGTGAAATATGATGGGAAATAATTATTCTTAATTACTCACTATAAGTGAGACTACTCATGGTACTACTGAATTTCTGTTGGTGCCTTGGAGAAAAGACTACACTAAAATGGAAGAGTTTCTATATTCTCTGGATAAAGGATTGTGAGAGGTTGTTTATGAGGATTAAGGAGCAGCAAGAGCGGTGCTCTTCCCTAAGGAGAGATGAGTCAGAGATTGAGGGCAACCACAATGCAGGCTGGGCAAAGGCCTCACCAAGAGAGTGCAGTGCCATCATGTCAGGCTGGCCAGCAGAGCAGGGTGGTGAGGAAAGTCTGTCCTGTCAGTGTCCCACAGACCATCAGGCAAAATCAGGTTACAGGCCAGGTCCCTCCACTGATTCCACATAGCTCTTCAGGAGCAGGGCTGGGGCAGACATGGCTGAGATGGCTCATCCAGGTATTGACAGGGGAAATGGAGTTCCTGAGCCCAAATGGGGCAGGGTGGATGCCCCAGGTGAGACTGGGCGGGACCATTATTGCCCAAGGGCTATGACAACGAGCACCTCTACTAAAAGTAGTTATAATTATATTTGGAAAAAGGCCTATATTGCTGCAGTTAAGAGGAAATGAGTGACATATAAGGGAAACTCATCTGAAACAACATAGTATTTCCTAAGTTGTGAAACTTCTGTTACACCAAACAAACAGATCACAGTTCATTGACAGGCAGTTCTTTCATTGTAGATGCTGTTGGGTTCTATTTTTATGTAATTCTTTACATAGTTTTTCCCTTTCAAAAAGTGTAATAATATGAAATTACAAATCTCTTCAAATTTATTGCTGAGAATATTTACATGCTCTATTCACAGAAAAAAAAGAAGAGGAGGGTGAAAAATTGCTTCCATTATCAGTGCCACGGAGGACATACCATCCAGTTGTTCGCGTTAAAAAGAATTTTATATATAAAAATGCAGTTGCTGTTATCAGAGGGGAGCCCAAAAAGCCTCAACATTTTTGTGTTGATTCAAGACAGGGAGATAAATATCTCCTTGAACCTTCAGGACTTTTTCCAAAGTACACTAGAAAAAAGGTACGTTTTATTAAATTATATTGGAAATATTATTTGTAATGCCTATTTTAGGTCCACTGTTGCATAGATACCATGGCTGTTCGTATTAGACCTTTTCATTCAAGAAGAAATCACTGGCACTAGATTTGTGCCCTGCCTTTGCTGTTTTCATTTGCTTATGATGTCAGCCAAAAAAATTTGCAGAATGATTCTTCTAAAGCAACGGTGTATGTCTTGCATTGGGAACCCAGAGACTGTCTAATGGGGAGACATGGAATTCTGTGATGAATGAATTTTTGCTTAGAAAAGTCAGGCAGGGAAGAAGAGAAGGAGGGTTGCCCTTTGAATGAAGGAGCTGTTCAAATATATGGAGTTCTTCTATGAAATTGGCTGGTTGAGCCTGTGAGTCAGGATCAGAGGAAAGGCCAGCAACTGCCAAAAGTGTGTTTGTTATGGAGCACCCAAAAAAGGTGAGGAACTGGATGAAAATCTCTTCAAGCAACTGGAGGAAATCTTCAGATCATGATGCAGCTTTTTAAGGAAGACTTCACTCTCCTTGGTAGCTGCTGAAAAGATAACACAATGGGATGAGAGCAATCCAAAAAGTTTCCTGAAGCATGTCAGCAACAGCTTTGTTCACAGATGGTGGATGAGCCAACCAATGGTCATGCTCTTCTGGTTCTGCTACCTAAAAAGGAGAAAGAATTGCTCAGGGGTGTGATAATCAGTTGTAGTCTGGGTGGCACAGACCATGTAGCAGCTCCAGACCCCCTCCTGGTCAAGGAGCCAGGTGGTAACCTACTGACTGCTCAGGAGAGCAAACAGCAGCTTACTGAGGGTAACTGGTAAGTAGGACCCCATGTGAGACAGCTCTGGAAAGCAAAGAGCTTGGCAGAGCTGACATGCCTTTAAGGACAACCTCCTCTGTGCACAAGAACAGTCCATCCCCTACCCAGGATGTACCCATGTAACCCATGACAGAGCATTAAGAGATGACATAAAACATCACTCGTGACCGAGAAGATGCCAAAAAGAACCTGAAGCCCTTGCAGTACTTTTCCATGGCTAAACATGTATAAAAACAATGCTAGTCATGATGCTACCTGACACTAAAAGATTAGTGAATAATTTTGCATTTAGGAGAAAGAAGGTAGACACTGTTATCTTCTGGCTAGAGGAGCTTCATTTTACAAAGGTTAAGGCAAAATATATGTGTTTCCCCAAGAATGTCTGGGATATTCAGAAGTCTTTTTTTCCTTGCAGAAACACATCAGTATGGGATAGTTTATCCTTCTTAGCTAGTCCAATTTTCATGTATGCATATGTTGCAATGTTCAGCAAAAATCAGGATACAGGAAGGCCTTTCAAAGAAATTCTCTAAGGAATGTTTCCAACCTGACACCGTATAAAAATTTAAAATATCTCATTGTTATAAACAGGTTTCAAATTCCTTGCTCAATCATCAGTTCTTTTAAATAGATACTTTGGTTTCTGGATTCTATTGTCTTCTAAGGTTGTGAAAAGAAATTGAAGGGAATTGTTTATATGTTTTTCTCCCACTACAAAGATAATCATGTTTGACACTTCCAAGAACATGGTGATTTAGGATTTTAGTGCTCAGTAGCACAAATTGTCATTTCAAGCTATTTTTGCAAATGTGTGGATGACAGGTATCTCTTTGTTTCCTTCTTAAAAGCACATATAAGGAACTTCTTCCTTCTCCTTATAGAATTATGGTGTTATACCGAAATATGTGACACGGAGAAATGAAGAAATGAAGAGAGAGGAGGAAGAATATCAAGCCAGTGTTTTGGAGCAACTCCAGAAGAAAGCCATGAAAACTCTATCTGAAGAAGAAAGGGAAAATGTTCTGAAGGTGCATATTTTCATTTAATGTAATTAGTAACATGTCCAAAAGATTAAATAAGGTAGTGTAAGGCCATATAAATAATGAAAGTATACTTCTTTGTTTTTTAAGTGAGACGAATTAGTTGGCTACTTTTTCACTAGATGGAGCTGTAGAACAGTTGTATACAACTGAAAGGAACTGCTCGAGCTAGAGTTTTAATCCAGTTTTCAATTCTGTTTGGTTCTTATCCATCTTAATGACTCAGAATTTCAGTGAAACTTCAAAGAGCATAAAATCACCAATATGGATTTAGTAACACTTATTAATGGAGAAATACAGTTTTTTTCCCTAATGCAGAATATTGCGCCTTTTATTGGCAGGTTCTATCTTTCCATTGTGACCTCACTGATTAAAGCATAATGACTTGCTTTAAAATGTGGCAAGAAAAGAAAACAGATTTAAATTGAGATAGAGTCATAAAACTATGACTGAAAACTTTGTGTGTTGTCAAGCTGTTCTGGATACTGTCTTTCATACAGTTTTAATTGCACAAGACTTTCTAAAGAGAATTAATACCATTAAAGAAGTAGAGCATAAAAGTAACATCTTAAAATTCCATACTGCCCTAGAACTGGAACTTTTCTTGACCACTTTTTAGAAAAATTTCCTATGAAAATGAAGCTTGTATGACTGTCATATCTATATATCAGTCTGTCCCCTCATAACTTTGTCTTAGCATCCACCTGAAACTGAAATTAATAGATAGATGGACAGATCAAAGATGCTGAATGCCCACCAAAAAAAAAGTATCTAGAGAGAAAACAGTGTCTCACTTGCCTGAAAGATGAACTAACTTGTTAATTGACAAAGTGCGAAATGTCCAGCACAATGGTCTTTTGCATAAACAGCAAGCAGTGGAAGCTAGGAAGGAGTATGGGAGAGAGGTGAGGGTATTGCACTGACAGCAATATAAAGAACAAAACAGCATACTCTTTTGAAGAAGATTGAGGTATTTTTATGGTGGGAAAGGCATGGGACAAGCTATGCAGAAAAAATATATGTGCGAAAAAGGCATGTGAGTTCAGCTGCTCACCATTCTGCATTTAGTTTGATTAAATTATGTTCTGTATTTTTCAAATACAGAAATGCACTTTAATATTTTTTAAAATGTTTAAAGTTTTTAGATTTTTTTATTAACTCAGTATTTATTTTAATTTTTTTTTTTTCAAAAACATTTGCACTTCCATGAGCTTACTTATGCAGTTACATTGTAAGGAGGAATTAGTGTCCCCAGGGTATGTGGCTTCTACCCAGTGCTCAGCTGTAGACATATGGGAATTTCTGTCCTTTAAAATAATTGACATTGCTAGTGAACACATGTGCACTATCTTATTTGAAACAATACGTGGCAATAAATGCCTGAGACCAAAATCAAGCCTCATGACCTTACAAAAATAAAGGGAAGTAATTTGTGCCAACATTTTTGGAACTTTTCATTGTGCTTACTTTGGTTGGGATTTTATGAGAATAAAAGAGAATGTTGATAAATGCAGTACATATTTCTCACTGATCCAGCATGTATTAGAGTTCCATATATAGAGTGGGATATTCAGTTTGTGATCTAGCTATAGTGGTCAGCTTATTACATTGGTGGAGGAGCTGTGAAATTCACTGTTTTCAATTATTTCCAAGCCAGTTCTTACTAATGTACACAAATAAGAATTATTTGAAGAATCTATGAATGACTCTTCTATGAAAGCTTTTGAAAATATGAGATTTATTTTTATGCCTATATATTTGTAAACTGTACCAGATGCCTGGTAGACTCTGAATCTTATCCAAGTACTTTACAGCCTTGGGTAGCAAAGACAAGTATCATTACAAGACAGTAGATAAATATCCTTGTTGCTCTAAGTTTCACATGTAGCAGTAGGGTTTTTAAGTTTACATAGATATTTGTATCTATGTAGATATATGTATGCAAGGAATAGCCTTTATGAACAACACTTATATGCTTAATATGAATATGAAAAAAGCATGAACGGCTATGCAATAAATATACTGGTTTGAATTGCTAAAATATTAGTTCGTATTAAAGATGACATTTTTCTCAGTGTTGGCAGGAGTGTTCATTTTTTCTGTAAATCAATTTAAAGTTTTTAAGCACAAGAGCCCTTGACTTCTGAAATAGAAACAACAGTCTTCAAAGCTGAATATGTATAAAAGTAAACCCTCTAAATTTAACTTCAGTATGTTCATCAGTTAGCCAGACTGTGAGAAAAGTGTTTAATAATAATGGAGGACATGAGGTTGGAAATCAGTGTGCCATAAAATCAATGTGCCAATTGAATCTAGATTTAGTTATGGAGAAGAGCTGAAAACTTTGGTTCCCAAGAGAGTAACTGTACTTCTTTTTTTTTTTTGAAGATATTTTGTGATATGCTCTAAGGTGACAGAACTGAGAGCCATAGACATTTTGGAGAAGTGTTTTCTCACTGATGGGTGTGTTATTTACTGATTGCTGTCTCAGTTCCTTGTTAGCTGTGATTATTAAGTTCACCCATGTAGTTTTCATGGGGACATTTGATGCACAGATAAACTCTACTAAACCATCGCATACACGTGGATAGAATGTGTAGATTTTGATTATACTTTTGAGGAGAGAAAGTAAGAGCAATAGTTGTGATAATTTTAAGAAGGATATAAAGACAAGATTTAAATTTTATTTTTCTACCACTGTCTGGTTCCTTTCAGTGTATATTGGCTGATAAAAGTGTTGTCTCTGATGCCGACTTAACTGGTTTATGAATAAGTTTCGGATTATAGCATTTAAAATTTTTTAATGTATTATTTTAGTCTTGAGATTTTATGTATGGACGATATGGTTCACTTTATCTAGAAAGGTAATTCTTTGCACAGCAGCATTCAAGAGAGGTAGTAATTTCTGGAATTATTGTTGATAGGGTCAGTGACAGTTAGGGTTTTAGTCCAAATGATAAATAAATTGCCCATAGTTGTTACTGTAAATATAGATTAGAAAGGGAATGCAATTATTCAGAATTTTTTCAAAGTAGTTTATGGAAGTTAAAGTATTGTGGAATCAGTTTGGTGACCATGGTCTGAACAAAGTCTTGATTACAGAAAATTAAGCTGGTGTTGAGGTGGCCTGAAACTGCTGCTGAATGTTGTTGAATTTTGGCTAGAGTTCCAACTATTATAACTCTTAAGGATTTAATGAATTTGGTCCAATTAAGATGATTATACATTATTAATTTACTTATCTATTATCTTTACACTGCAGTGACACTTAGCAAATGTAATATAAATTAAAAAATTAAGTAATTTATGTATATATTGTTCTTACTTTAAGTTTTTCTCATATATTTCCTTTTCGTGTAATGGCACCAGGCACTGAAAAAGAAGTGGGAGGAAACAAATCGTGCATTTCAGAGTCTTCCAGTACTAACAGACACCAGTTACAAGAGGATGCATAAACAAGAGCTGGAATTAAAGCTGCAACAACTGGAGCATGACATAGCAGCAATCGAGAATCACAAAACTGTCTACATTGCAAATGTGTAAGGATTGTTGTTCAGATACTGCCTCTTTTCTCCTTTTTCTCTATCCCTGCATCTCCAAGAAGTGCCTAAATTCTCAGATCTACTGTCAACTATTTAGAAGGAAATACTAAGTATGTAGCTTCTTAGAAAAGTTGTTACATATAATTCTCATCTGTACAATTCCCAAAACATTTTGAAATAAAATACTTAACTAAACTTTGAGTATGAATAATGAATTTAATTTATTATTCTTTGTAATTTTTATTAACTACTAAGATATCTATAAACATCGTACAGAAAGCATATAAAACACTGTTTCATATGTTTGGAGTACATCTTTCCTTGCCTAGCCAAAACACAGGGAAATAATTGGCTGCTGAAGACAGCTTGGTAAATACAACTTCTGGCTGGAATGGCTTCTGGACTATATATTAAAGAGATGTTGTGCTTTACTTAAAAGCTTGAGTGATTGTGTTTCTAAACAGCTTGACTTCTGCATAACATTTTGTGTACTCATTTTTTGTTACCAAAACCAATTTTTAATGTGGAAATGTGTAATAATACAGACTTCACACAATACAGATACCACATGTGTGTTTTTACAAGTAAATAATTCTGTAATACTATAGTAAATCTACAATTAAATTAGAAAAATGTGTTTTGACTGGAATTATGTGTGTACTGTTAGAATGAAAGCAATATACAAGCATCTGAGTCAAGACTTAGACAAAAACTATCAGCACCTTCTATTGCAGTTGTTTGCATAGAAGGAAAAAATGTTTTTCTTTGCTACTGCTTAACCTTTGCTTCATAGAATCATACATACTGTTTAGATTAGAAAAGATCTTTCTCAACCTTTCAGAACACAGCTTTTTCTATATGGTATCAGTCACTACCACCAGCAGCTGTTGTGACATCATCATATCTGACATCAGCAAAGGATAAAGTAAAAAATATTAAATTAACTATGAAAAGCCAAATGTTCCCATACATTAAATTCCTTTCCCTAATTTGTTAGGGGAATGGCTTTGAAGACTTTACCATGATTCTAGGCTCTATTTCTTGTGCATATTATACTTGTCTATGACATGCACTAGGAGTGTGTGGGTGAGCAGAAATGTGTATTTTCTTATTACTACCTTATTATTAAGCAATCATGTTAATTTTTGAAGGATGTAAGCTGGAAGAAAGCTGCAAATTTGAAAAATGTGGATTTAATATACCTCTTACTCAAAAGACTGACACACTGTATATTTTAACAAAACTACACTTAATTATTAGCACTTAATAATATGTGATATTATCCTCTAGTGAAGTACCTGATGCCCCTTTTAAGAAATTCAGTGTAATCAGAAAAGGCTGTTTCTTATGGCTTAAAATGAAAAAAAAGGATTTGACTCCAAAAGAGCATGCCTCCCTCTCGGCCTTTACTTGCAGACTGGCTGATTTAGGTTAGGATCTGTATTTGGTTCTTCCATTAATCATCAGTGCTAACTTTATGGAAATGCAAAATAGGTGGTGGCCTATCCCAAAATTTGGGACGAGCATCTAGGCCAGACTTAGAAACGTTCATCATTCACCAGTAGAAATGACTGCTTTTTAAAATTGTCAGAAGTATGTTAATGTATTACTAGGAAATTAGAAAGTGAATGGGAAGGGATGCAAAAAAGTATTCCTGCTTAACAGAAGAGACAAAAGCCAGTGTCCTTCTGTAGCTGAGTGGACTGTCACTAGTGACTTTCAACAGTGCTGTGGCGTTTTTTTCCTGAGCCTCATATAGCTCTTTGCAGGTAGCTCTGCTGCATGTTCCCCTCATGAAACATTGAATTGCTTCTGTCACCCTATGGAGGGGCTGTACCCCCTTTTGGTGTGTATTCCATGGGACCTGCCAACACCTCTGGTTATGAAAAAAAAATAATTAAAATCATTGAAAATGTATGCAGAAGGATAATGTTCTTATCCTTTAGCTCTCTCTGGGAAGTTGGACAAAATAAATTTACAGAATCCAGAGAATGTAACTCTGTATTTATATGTTCAGGAAATGCCAGTAATTGAAAGTATAATATTCATGAATCAACTAATATGCACCATTGGTATAACAAAATGAAAAAGGTAAATAAACTCAATTGTTCTGATAGAATTGTTCCCTCATAAGAGCTATTAAATATTAACAGAAACAAGTCTATCCGCAGGCTAAAAAGTAGCATTACCATTTGAAACATCCTTTAAATTCATGAGTCAGTTACTAATAATCGATGAAATAACAAGACTATAACCAAAATGCTTCAGTACTTCATAGTTATAAAATTGGTAATTTTAAATTGTCCATATTAAATTGGATAACCATAATAAAACCTGAAAAATGGGACATGAATAATCTATTGGTCAGTAGGAGTTACGTTCCCACAAACTGAAAATATTTCCTGTTGGAAGTTGTGCATGACAAAGCTGTGTATTAATTTTTTTTAAAATAGCAACATGAAATTATGATGAATATCTCAGTGGCTGTTCTTGAGAATGAAACTATTTATATTCAGGAAGGAAGGGATCAGATGTGGCATCGTCACAAACAGAGGGAGTTCCTGATTGTATGGCTCTGATAGAGCTGCCTCGAGCAAGCATCAGCTCTGACAGGAGCATGTGGGCTCCATGTGGCTGATCTTGGACAGTGGTGGCTTTTTGGGCTCTGCATACATTCCCTAAGTCCTAAGAGACCGCTCTTCAAAACCTTCCTTGTAGAGAGGTAACCTCATTCCCCTCACAAAAGAGTGAGGCCAAAATTCAGTGGGAAAAATGAGAGAGATTTGCCACCGAATTAATTTTCCATAGTCTCTGTAGGTAGGTTTTTTTGTAGGAGGGCATGTCTGACCCCTTGTATATTTTTGTGTAAAATTGGTACTAAAAACTGCTGCTGTGATGGCTCTGCCACGAAGCTGAAATCTGGTCCTTGCATACATTTCAGGCAACACAACATATCTAACAATTTCAGCCTTAATGAAGGCAGACATCTTTCAGATAAGAACATGTCACATAAATTCAGGTAAATAGGATCCTAGTCCACACTTTCATCCTCAGCTTTAGGATGCTTATAATATTAATGACATAATTAGAGGAGAGACAGGTGGCAAACTCTGTTATTAAGGTCATCTGACATTTCCCATAGTCAAGGAAGGCAGCTGCTGAGCCCTGCAGCTGGGCTGGCATTGTCCACCCCAGGAACCAGGTGTGTATTGAGCCTGACCAAGCCAAGCAGGAATGGCCATTTCTTCCATGAGTGGCACCGAAGATGGTGATGTACACTTGACCACATGAATGCCTAAACTGTATGGTTTTTCATACTATCTCAATCTTCCTCCTGCTCCTCTTGTCATGCAAAGTTATGCAAATAAAATACGAGGGTTTTCACCTTCCAGGCTAAGTGGCATTGTGGTAGGAATGGAACGTGACTTATTTCTTATGTTTTTTTCTTTACTGTTTAAAGGATGCTGATATAAATGTGACTTCCATTTCATCAGGTTATGAAACACAGTTTTTTTATAGACTTTACAAAGAGTTGTAGACAGGCAGACATACCCAAATATCAGCTATGTGCTGGTCTTGTTGGTGGTGCTAGGAGAGTGAACTTCTGTTCAGTCACAGTACTAGCTTGTGGTGGTAATTCATTATTCCATGCCAACCTCGACATTGACTCCACAGCATGAAGAAATTCACAGAAACATGCAACACTGGAATAATTTTGTATTCAAATCTTTCCTCAAATGTCATTTGCAGTGGTGCCCACCAAAAATGTAACAACAGCTGAGCTGCTAGTGAGCTGAAATAAGGGTTTATCTTGCTGACCTGTGCAGTTTCCCTGAACTCCCCTGGCACTGCAGCCTGCTGTTTCTTGTCTTAGATTGTTAAGTCATGTGTCATACGGATCGTGCTTATTGCCTGACACAGTTTTGTCTGTTAGTGGAGCTCTTGTGTGCTTATAATAACAGTAATAATAAATATGATCATCTGGGCATGAAGACCATGCAGTAAGATTCCTGTTGTTTACTAAGAGGATCTGTTTTCCAAGAACCCTCATTTCATTTGTTTCAACAACCGGAAAGTAGGAGTTGAAGGAAGAGAAATGAGATTTAAAGCACTTAACTTATTCCCTGGAGCAATATGATTTATTCATGTCTTTGTCATAGCATGTTTTTGAAATGCAATGGTAAATGACTTATACCTGGCTTTTTCACTGGTAACCATTAGTAGTGCATTTCTCATTTTTGGGATTTCTGACTTGCAATTTGAGCCCATCTGTTTTAAATACAGGATATATGTGCCTAAGGTTAGAACTATGATTTGAGCCTAAACAGCACTATGCAATAGTTTAAAAGCTATGGAATAGTCTAAAAGCAAAATTATTAAAATTAATGATTAATCTTGCTAGGTGAGAGCCCTCATATGAAAAATTCAGGTGACTAAATTGTCTAATTCCAAGAGCAGCTGTAAAAATGGACATGTACCTCTAGAACTGTTCCTTGAGGTCCGTTTTAAAGGACCTCATGTTGCTTTGAGGTCCATATTCAAGCTGAGGAAGCAATGTAGTAATTCTCTCTTCGGAGGAGAAAACTCCAGTAGTGTTCAATAGTGGTCCCAAGCACTGCACAAGGGAGAAACAACCACATTTCGCTGTTTGCTCAGGAGAAATGATTTGTCTTTTTACACAAACAATAAAATTAGCAAATGGTCCAAATCCAGCATTCCAGCAGCCTTGGGTGTCAGGTCATTCTGTGCTGCAACAGAGCACAGAGGCTGTCCAGCCATGAGCATTCACTGTCTCATGCTACAGGAGAACTCTTTGGACCAGACCCTGTTTTTCAATACACTTTTGTTACTGCACTATTTATTCTAGGCAAGCTGTTAAGTATACAAAATTATATCAAAGATAACTGAGCTATTCTGGGGGGAAAAAAAAAACCTTAAACTGTTACTTGCTTAGTTGTCCAAGAACTCGGAATTCTTTTGTTTGGCAGACTTTCCTAGATTTTTTTTTTTTAATTAAGAAAAAAAAAATTAAAAAGAGGGATGAAGAGCCTGCTTTAAAAAGAAAACAAACTCTAACAGTTAAATTCATTGCATTGGGTGTGACCCACTGTATAGTTATAACTCCCTGATTAGTTTTCATGGTCATGCATGATGAATATATCATAGGATATGATGTGAGCAGCATTCCTTGGAAA